TACAGCGAGTATCTAATTACAGACTCGTGAAATATTTTCATATGCACGTTGTGTGCACTTTACTAGCTTACAATGAAACAGCCGAAATCGGCAACAAAATGAAATAAAACATTTGGTTAAACGTATGTCATGTACTAGGTATCCCTCAACTACTTGTTCTCCTTTCAGTTTTTTAAATTCTTTTTCACACAGAAAAAATAAATTGAATATCGCTTAAATAAATTGCAAGTGAGAAATCACATATCATGTTATCTTTAAATCAAAATGATATTTAATCAAAATAAATATTGAATACTTTATAGAAGCTTTCAATTTCTTGAAATAAAAAACCATTAGTATTTAAGGAATATCTAGAAAAGTACGAAGACTACACAAAAGTGTCAGCGACAGCATTAAGATTTGCTTGAATGATTCTGAAAACACACATATATGAATCACTGGACAGGACCATAAATTCAATTGAACATGCGTTATTTAAAAAAAAAGGGAGGAACACTGGACTTTATAACATGTTTAATTAGCACAAAGAGGCGATTTCACATCTATTCAAAAACAATTTTCACTGGATCGTGTTAATTGCACTTTACCAGTACATGTAATGCTCCACCAATGGTGATTTACTCAAGTGGAAGATAGATTTTTAAATTTATTTTGAAAATTTGGCTATAAAAAAGCAAATATCTGTCCACACCAAAATATATGAGTTGAAGATTTTGAAAAGAAATTAATCAGGTCCAGGAATACATTACTACATATGTATATAATTTAAGTGTACATGTATCTTATATTTATATACAATTCAGAATATCATTGTTTTGTGTACCGGTACTCTGTAGATAATCTTAAATAAAAAATTATTAAAACACAGTACCTGGCCATAATTGAGTAAAAATTTTATTTTTCCACTATATTTTCATTGAAATAATGCAGTTTACTGAAATATTATTGAAGTGTTACTTGTGACTCATTTTTATGACTAAAACACCATAAAATGTAGAATTCTTTGCAGTTTCTTCACATAATTTTAAAATAATTTTATCTGTATGCATGCATTGCAGTGATATCACATGTCAAAAAAAAAGGTCCATAAAAATTTTACGACTCTAATTTGTTAAGAAATCTTAGTACTTTGAGCTTAGAAATTTTTGTCTTGACGATTTCATAAATTATTGTCGATGATCAGTGTCTCATTTTATTTAGCTTTTTAAGACAAGACAAGAGGCCCAAGGGCCTTAACGGTCACCTGAGTACAATACAACAACTTATAGGGTCCATAGAAGTTTAAAATAAATCGATAGATGAGGCTTTGCGAGAGAAATAAAATGATATGGATCAACGAAATAATTAGTCTTCTACTCATGTTTCACTTGCCCCCATTTATCACTATTACCATACCAAATATTAACAAAGAAATAGTGCTTCTATACTATATCTCATCTCATTTAATCTCTCACATTAGCTTCTCTTGGTCTTAGAAGATCATCTAATAAGATGAGTTATTTTTGTGTCATTTTTTTTAATCTATTATTTTCAAGTCTACCCGATCATTAAGACTATGAAAGTACTTTTTGTATTATACAATAAAAGTTCTTGCATAATTTTCTTATTCTATTAACCTTTCAAATACGTTATTTAAAGTGGTGATTTATTATCAAAGGTGAATGGCAAAGGGGAATAATTTATCTCAGCAGAATACAAATTAATAGAGCCCTAGCCAGCACCAGAACATTCGGTCCAGAATATCAAAAATCTGGTAAAATTACCCTTAATTGCTTATTAAAACTTTTACTCGGCCTCTGAGATGCCCAGGAGCAAAGAAGATTTTAAAATAAATAATGCATTTTTACTATAGATTCAACACAGCCCCACCCTAACAACAGAACCCATGACCCAGGGTCATGAAATTCACAAAATTTGGATGAGGTACTCTCGCTTATCCTAACTATGCACTTAGTTGAAGATTTTAAATTAATTCAAAATTAACACATTTTCACTATAATATCATTAGACCCCCCCCCCCCCAAAAAAAACCCACTAAAACCCCCGACCCTCAGACCACAAGTTTTAAAAATTTTGGAAGAAGCACCCTTGCTTATCATAACTATGCATTTCGTTTTTCTGCTCAATACCCAGGAGCAGGCAAGATTTATTTAATAGAATTAATGTATTTTCACTATATATTCAATAGAGCCCCGCCCTAACATCAGAACCCCTGACCCATGGGCCATGAAAATCAAAATTTTGGAAGAAATTCTCTTCCTCATTATAACCATGCACTTAGTTTGTTTACATAATATCCAGAAGCAGAGAAGAAGATTTTCAAAGAATTAATGGATTTTCACTATATGATCAATAGAGCCCCTCCCTAACACCAGAACCCCTGACCCAGGGATCATGAAATTTTGGAAGAGGCACCTTTACTCATCATAACTGTGCACTTAGTTAGTTTGTTTAATATCCAGGAGTAGAAAAGATTTTCAAAGAAATAATACACTTAAACTACATGTACATGTATATGATCTATATAGCTCCGCCCTACCACCCGAACCCTTGACCCTAGGTCCATAAAATTCACAATTTTGGAAGAGGAACTATTGATCATCATTACCATGCACCTACTTTATCTGCTTAAAATAAAGAAAGAAGAAGGTATTTAAAGAATTTATGCATTTTCACTATATGTTCATCAGAGCCCCACCCTAACTCCAGAAATCCTGACCCTGGGGCAATGAATTTCATAACTTTGATAGAGGGCTTAATTCTTATTACAATCAAACCAACAGTTTGACTGCTGGTGTCCAGGAGTAAATCTAAGAAAATAAGATATCACTAATTTTAATAGTTTTAGTCCCACCCCTAAGGCCTGGGGGGGGGGGGGATAAAATTCAGAATTTTTGTTCCCCTTCACTCATAGATGCTACATGTATATACCAAAATGATTGAAATCGGTTCTGCAGTTCCAAAGAAGAAGTTGTTCAAATGTTCAAATGAAATGAAAAATTTTTTGTTAAAAATTTGTCAGAGGACTTTGATATAGCAGAAAATGACCATTCAGTGGTCCAAATGATAAATATGAAATTGATGCCACACACAATTGACCACAACTTTTGAGAGGGTTGGTTTTAAGCACTATTTCAAAAGTTTGAGTCGTCTCTTCATGTTTTTCGCTTTCAAAATTACCAAGACTCTTAAAATATTGAGTGTTATAGTAAAATAGTTACAGTGAAATATGATTCAATATTTAACACTCAATAGATTTAGAAGTGTTGAGTATATCACCCATTTTCGTGTTTGTGTTCATTGCCCATCACATCCAAACATCTAAAGGAAGGCGGAAATTGTCTCGCTACTCTATCCTAATGTTTAACTGATGTTTTGCATGGCATTGGTTCATTGTCACGTAACCCAAAATAAAACTTCAGCACAACAACCCCAATAACATGTAAATATACCCGACCTTCGATGTTCTTCGAGAAGATAACAAAGAGACAACAGTCTATATGCACAGTTAGATTGTTTTTTTATATACTTCGGTCGGATTGACAGCTGTAGAATCTAGTTCAGAGTATAAACCATACCTGATATGTTTAAAGTGCCGCCAGTTTACAATCCGTTGTTTTAGATTACCGATAATTGATACACATACAAATGGAAACAAATTCCGAGGATTTAGATGCACGTTACTGACGCACGTCTTGTAATGAGATAAGGGGTCCTATGACACTGTTTACTAAACTTCTCTGTACGTGTTCATTGTTCAGATGTCACAATAAACTCTGAATATTATTTTACTAGATTTGTAAATAACGACCACAGGAAGGTAAAAATATTTTAACTTTAAAAAATCAAACAAAACATTTAATGGGAGAAAATCTTACAGATAGTCCTATTTAGGCCCATCTACCTAAGTTGATGAAATTCAGATTTTTTTTAAGTCAACAAAAAATGACATGACCTAATCAATTACACTCTACGGATTGAAGTCAAAATCGGACCAAAACTTTGACCCTTTTGTGCTAAGCATTAGATTGATGCATACTTAAAGTCATGAAATGTTAAACCCAATAATCGACCATTTTCAAAAATGTTTTTGTATATACTAGTAATAAAATAAAATAAATATTGTTGTGCAGATATATGCATTTACAACCATTATACAAATGCTTTAAAAATCGCTCTAGAAAAAGTTTACAGAATAAAAAATTACACCATTCATGAATGTTTGCGAGCATATATTTATTTTCGTTGCATTGACGTACAAAGGAAACTTTTAAATTATCCACCGATCTCTGCACAAACACACAACTCTACCACCTGTTGAGTCATATGTGAATGTTTGATCAGAGATTAACAAGTGGTCAGTGACTCTAAAATAGCCCCTTTAACTCCAAAACTAATGAAAAAGATAAAATTGATCATTCAACCTTGTTCCATCCTTTTTTAACTAGTATTTTTTACGATATCCTGCCGCATATCCCCAATCTCTTCCATTGATTCGGTCCTACGCAAAAGAGGTAAAGCGTCATTTCCCCATTGATGGTAACGTCTTCTGGATGATTAGCGATAATTGAATGTTTTATATAACGCTAGAGTGACTCGCATAAAACACGTTACTATTTCAGCACAATAAGCGCGCGGATTTCCGACTATGCACTTCAACACTTAGACATGAATTTGCAAACATTTCAATCTCCATCCTGATGTTCCCTTCTTCGAAAAAAAATGAAATTAACAACAATTTATCTCAATTTGACGTCATAATGAAAGTTTATCAACGTTTTTGGACTAAATATGGAAGGCTAGATGTTTAATGGACATGAAGACCGTACAGCGTATCTTTTACTATCATAACAGTCTTCATTAAAAATAAAAGTTTATTCAGATCTGTAAGGTTCCTTTAGCTAAAAAACCATGTTTTAAGAACCGAAGTTTTATGTTTAACATTGATTACATATTTATCACCTGTTTTTGGTAAATATTTCTATCTTATATTTATTTTCAGTGGATTTCCTGACAGCGTACTAGAACTCAGACAAGGAATGTATCTGTGTATGTATATTTAATTTTTTTTGTCTAAAATCACATAGAGGCTCTATTACAGTTTTATTCATTTTAACGACTACTTTCCTACAAAATTGGATTTACATACGCTTTTATTGTCCTAACAGGTATATAAAGAACACCATTTAGCTTTTACGACTTAAGTGTTCTTCTCATTGAATACATGTTATTGTCAATCTGACATACGTGTACATTTTGAATTTAGAGACCAATTGAAAGCGTCTGAGAGAACCTGATTTATTTGTCTGTATTATGTTGATAACTGCTGATTACAAAGAAATGTGCAAATATTTGACTTCTATTTTACTGCATTTGTGTGCCAAAGGCTTCAGCCAACAGCTCTTTTGGAGAAATTTTAAACAAAGTCACATTTTAGAAATTAGCCTCTAGAACACCCTTGAGTATTTAATCCTAACATTTGTCTACAAATTTACTTAGTGTAGCCTTATGTCAAGCATTGGAGGACCTGCCACGAGTTTCTATGACTTTGCAAAAAATGTTTTGTATTGCAAATAAAATTAAATCAAGCTTATACCTTTTACTTGTCTCTTTTCACAGAATTTTGAAGACTATTTAAGGCGTAAGAAATGTTATCAATGAAGAATAACAGGGAAATGGATATTTATAGAAGACAGTATAAATCTCAAGAGTTTGCACGTGAACTCAACAAGCGCGAGCAACGCCGTCTTGACCAGGAAGTTGGTGGGAGAGGTGGTATAGAGGCTGAATACAGATTCAACCTTGACAAGGTTAACCAAGAACGAAAGGAGATAGAGAGAGAACTGAATAAAATCCGAGGCGGCGTTCACAAACAGCTTACACATCATGCTACCTTGTCAAGCGATAAGAAATTCCATCATCCGAAATTCAAGGATTTTGGAATGAAAGACACAAGCGGCAGGAGTCCAAGGTTGCAACGAAAGGCTTTGCCAGAAAGCAACTCACGCGAGAAAGATCCAAGCCCAATGGACGCTGAGATGCTTATTGAGTACCTCCAGAGTTTTAATAAGGCGCATGCGCAAGATAATAATGGTATTTCTGATGGGATCAAAGGTTCAGGTCGCTTCATACAAAATAAATATAATGATCTTCCACATGTGCAAATAAATCCATTGATAATATCAGATCAGTCGGAAACTATTGAAGCGGAAAATTCAAATGACTCTGAGGAACAGAAGCAATATATACAAACATTAAGTGACAGTCAATCGCAAGGCACCCTATCTGTCGACCACACTGATACGAAGGAGACATCCCTAGAAAGACAACAGAAAAACGAAAGTGGAGAAACAACGTCGGGGATGAGTTCACCTCGGCACAGCCCAGTCAGGCGTTTGTCGGTAGACAAAGGAAAGCACATCGCGCCAGGAACCAGTCCTCCAAGACATTTCTCAGCCAGAAGACTGTCAACTGATAAAGGAAAAAATACATCCCCCGTATTCAACGATGATGTTCATGGACCCCAACGACACAATCCAACTAGGCGACTCTCAACGGATAAGGGAAAATATGCAACCCCTCCAGGCAACGAGGATATTCATGCTCATCCAAGACGCAGCCCAACAAGGCGACCCTCAGCGGATAAGGGAAAACATATAACCCCTCCAGGAAATGAGGATAGTCATGGTCATGTAAGACACAGTCCAACGAGACGACCCTCAGCGGATAAAGGAAAACATACAACCCTTCCAGGCAATGAGGATAGTCATGCTCATGTACGACACAGTCCAACGAGACGATTATCTACAGATACAGGGACACATCCGTCACCCTTACATGTAGCAGATGAGAGACCGAATTCTCCACCGTGCACACAATCAGAAAATGTGAATGAGACTGAAATTGCAAGTGTTTGGAAAGAAGCAGACGTTGAGAAAGTGGAAACACAACCTAAAGTTCCAGCGGAAGAAGAAGAAAAAACAAAACCTAATAAACTTGTGATCGGACCAGAGTCTTTTAATCCAGACGGCTCGCTAAAAACTATGTACACGGTACCCCCTTTTGAACAGTCTTGGGAAGAAGCTAGGAAGGCGAGATACATCAGAACCCGTGAACCATTGGAAAGGGATCGACAGTTAACCACTAATGAAATATTTGATAAATCTTCATAAACTCTGGAATTTAAGCCGTAGATACACAGGCTAGTCTGTGATTTTATTTGTTCTTAATTTAAAACTTGTAACACATTAATTAAAAAAATTAACATTGCCGTATAATGTTATCTTCACAACCAATCAATCTAATTGGATGTTTTATGTATTTGGAGTACTTCATTTTACGATTGATTACGTATAATGAATTATTTTGGACTGGTTTCATATTATGTTTTGACGTATAAATATGTTATGATGAACATATTTGGATCCTTCTTATGAGAAAAAAAGCTTTACAACAGTGCATTAATAAGTACCTAGACAGCTCGTGTTTCATTCTAAAGTATAAACATGTCATTTTAATGACATTTAATGGACAGAGAAAAATAAAAACATCAAACAGCTTTTTACCTGGGTGTTTTGAAGAAATAATTTTTTAACTTTAAAATATTTATATTTTTCACTGCCATAGAATAAAATTTGTGTACGGCACGTTTTTCTCTGATAAGATGCCTGTGTGGATAAGTATTGTATTTATAAGTATTGTCCTTTCTGATATATATTTTATTTTGTCAAATAAGATCTGCAATATGATTTGTTGCAGATTTTATTTGACATAACTTAAAAATGTTAGAAAGGATATTACCTTTGTAATAATAAGGAAACCAAATTTTTCTTAACTATGTTTTCTAACTCGGCGCTGTACCAACAATTGGCATTAATCTATTATAACCTGAAAAGAAAACCAACTGATTACGATTGTGAAGACTTTCTGTAGTCTAGCAGTATTTCAGTGTGGAAAGATGCCAATTGCAAATTTCTTTAACAATTGCTTTCCTTTGAATACATTTCTTTTTTCCTTTCCTTTTTTTAAACTAGACGTAAAATTAATTTTATAACAAACAAATTAGTTCCCACGAAAAATATGTTTTAAGATGTTTTTAGAGTGCAGCAAACTATAATAATGAAGATTTATTAGGAATTAACAGAGTTAGAAAGTAAATTAATGTACACGTAGTTCAAAGCTAGCCACTTATTACTTAAAATCTCGTTTTAATGTCTTTATAAGTGATGGTCATAGAATTGAAGTACTGTAAAAATTGCAGTGGTATTCAATTTTCTATGCTATCGACGAACTCTATATAGTTTACATATTTATAGACTTAAATATCTAATTATATTCAACATCATACATGGATTTCCTAATAGGGAACTGCATTGTTCAAGGAAATTACGGGACCAAACGATTAAATTCCATATTAGAAATGAGCGTAACGTATAAAATAATTATAGTCTTTCTAAATCGGTCGTGAAAGTAAATAGATATGTAAATACACTTGACACACATTTTTCTAAAGTTGAAGAGACTAAATCAATAAGTTATTGTAATTGTCCGTTTAATTGACTGAATTCCTCTTTAAATTACAAATCGGCTATACAAATGTACACTAAAAAGTGTCAATCACTTCTGCTTATACATTATTCATCGGCAAAACAAACTGATTACAACAAGATTTTCACAAAAAACATAAATATGGGTTGATATGAATAGCCATTAGTTGTTATGCTTCGCTTTCACTAGTTGTTTGTTCGAAGCACAGATGAATACATGTAAATCAGAAAAAAAGATGCCATAAGATCTTGGCATTTACCTTTGACCTACATGTAATTGACCATGACTTGAAAAGCATATCTATTTTTAGAATATATCTTCTTACATCACACATGAGGATTTTGAATACCAATCAATCAATCAGTTTATTCACTTAAACCATACAAAATGGTACATGAGGTACATAAAGTATAAATCATATCTATTAAATCGTCAGAGGTACATACAACATATATATACATAAATAAATATTTTACAACTGCATGTAAAAGAATAGACATATAGTATTAACAGTATGTATGAATTCAATGCAAAGAAAAACACAAGGAGGACAATTAATCCATGGATGTAGGCGAAAACCTGTTCACTTCTCTAAAGAGAATACGTTTGAACCTGCCTCTTAAATTTAGGATGACTTTTCAGATCATTAGCTTCCATTTTCACAAAGGTCATGAGATGGTCCCAATACTGTTACTGTAATATTGAAAAACACAATGTGTTTTCTGATGAGACTGTAGTTCTACTGATCTGTGCGTATAACAAAGTAGCAGCACTTGGATTTGAAACTTTGCAACATGCATTAATGAATAGAATTATGTATATCTTAATGTAGTCTACTTCTGTGCCAGGTTTTATTGAAATCAAAAGAAAACTGTAGGAGGAGTAGCGTTTTGAAAGTATTTCAAAGAAATTTCTATTTTTAGTAACCATGAAAAACACCATTCCCTGAAATCATAAACCGAAATACATATTATGGATCGTAGTGTAGTCTAATTGTGTGCCAAATTAGATTGCAATCAGACCAAAACTGTAGGAGGAGTAACGTTTTAAAGGAATTTACAGAAATTTCTATTTTTAGTAAACAAGGCAACACTGTTCATCGAAATCAAAAACCTATGCATTAAATAATGTATCTTAGTATAGTCATCTTGTATGCCAAATTATATTAAAAGCAGACTAAAACTGTAGCAGGAGTAGCGTTTTAAAGTAATTTCACAGAAATTTCTATCTTAGTAACCATGGCAACACCATTCATCGAAATCAAAAACCGATGCTCTAAATTACGTATCTCAGTGTAGTCTACTTGTGTGCCAAGTTATATTGAAATCAGATCAAAACTGTAGGAGGAGTAGCATTTTGAAAAATTGTTAACAGAAATTTGTATTTTTAGTAACCATGGCGACACCGTTCCTCGACATAAACCAGAGGTCTCTGATGAGATTGTAGCTTTACTTGTCTGTACATATAACAAAGTAGCACTTGGATTTGCAACATGCATTAATAAATAGAATTATGTATCTTAATGTAGTCAACTTCTGTGCCAAGTTATATTGAAATCAAACGAAAACTGTAGGAGGAGTAGCGTTTTGAAAGTATTTCAAAGAAATTTCTATTTTTAGTTATCACATCAAAAACCGAAAAGCATATTATGTATCGTAGTGTATTCTAATTGTGTGCCAAATTAGATTGAAATCAGACCAAAACTGTAGGAGGAGTAACGTTTTAAAGTGATTTACAGAAATTTCTTTTTTTTAGTAACCATGGCAACACTGTTCATCGAAATCAAAAACCGATTCATTAAATCATTTATCTCAGTAAAGTCTTCTTGTATGCCAAATTATCAAAGACCTTAATATATTTAAAACAAATGCCTTATTTATTTTATATGTTTTATTCGAGTTGGCAGGTATTGTCCACAGTGGTCTACACAACAGTGGGGCAGCCGGCAAACTGGCACATCCCCCAACATCAACAATTAAGTTGTGCCCTCCCTGACGGGAAAAGTAGCACGCTGGGTTGACCTCAATCGTGCTACGGACACATTTCAACACAAATTATCTTTAATTATATTAATTATAATTAATTATATCAATTATATTACATAATTTTGCTTTAGATTTACTCAATATGAGATATAATTTTCAAAGTCAACATCACATATATCAACATCAACCATCACATATATCAACATCAACCACAACAAGTCAAGAATATAAATAGTTCAATGGTTAAATTGAAGGTGACGATTTCGCCAATCTGACCACTGTGAAGTATGGTTTTTCCCCGAACTCCTCGGAAGGATACTGTATTTGGCCCAAAATCATTCAAAAGGTCCTAAACGGAAATAACAGGCAATCCTGATCAACATCGTTGGTCTCCTTCAACGGCACCGCTAATTTCTGAAAAGACAAAAACAAAAAACCCAAAGCAGAAAAGAATCTCAATAACATTTCCATAACTGTCAATAAATATAGGTATAGCCAAATCATGTTAAACTATGTAGATGTACGAAAGGAGAAAGGGTATACTTAAACACCTAGCTCAAGGGTTGTGGTGGGAGGGTATTTCAAAATACAAAAATTAAATCAGATACTTTCATCACCCACCTTTCACTTTCATTGATGCATAGAAAAGGGGAGATAACCCGGAAACATAGTGACTAAGTACCGACACTGTATGGGTGGATAACAAAATTCCGACTTTACTCAATATCAGTTTCTCGCAAAATAAGAGGCGAATGATGACATTAATAACAGAGTAGAGCTTTGATAACGACGCATATTGTGAGACGAGCTCAAATATGCGGTATTATCAAAGACCTTAATATATTTAAAACAAATGCCTTATTTATTTTATATGTTTTATTCGAGTTGGCAGGTATTGTCCACAGTGGTCTACACAACAGTGGGGCAGCCGGCAAACTGGCACATCCCCCAACATCAACAATTAAGTTGTGCCCTCCCTGACGGGAAAAGTAGCACGCTGGGTTGACCTCAATCGTGCTACGGACACATTTCAACACAAATTATCTTTAATTATATTAATTATAATTAATTATATCAATTATATTACATAATTTTGCTTTAGATTTACTCAATATGAGATATAATTTTCAAAGTCAACATCACATATATCAACATCAACCATCACATATATCAACATCAACCACAACAAGTCAAGAATATAAATAGTTCAATGGTTAAATTGAAGGTGACGATTTCGCCATATGGGCACCGCAGGTGCCCACCGCCACCTGGTGGGGGTAGGCAGCTTCAATTTAACCACCCACCGTGGACCCCTAGCCTACTCAAAACCCTCAGCACCCCACCCACTGTGAATACCACTTTCTAATTGTCTCCACTACTCAATATATCTTCAATACAAGATTAAATCAATTCTTTATCAGCCATCCCTGCTGTATTAAGATAAATGATCTAGTTTCCCTACAAATTAAGTATGCCTGAAAACACCCCACCCCCTCCCTGGAATCTAGTACAAGTTTTTGTTTATTCTGCTTTGGGTCTTTTTATTACCCTAATATTTTTAGTAACGACAGGTTATTATTACTGAGGCATGAATAAGAACTAAACTAGCCTGGTGTAAGAAAAATTTGTAAATAATTTCAATCTCTAATCCCCACTTACCCTATTCTTGTATTTTTATTTATTTGTTTATTCATTTATTTATTTATTTAATTGATTCATTTTTTATTTATTTTTTTTTAAAAGTAATTTGGAAAGTTCTAAACTACTTTCTAGCTGAGATTGCAAACAAGTAATAAACAGGCACAAATCCCCTTTTACCCCCCCTTTTTCCCATCTGCAGTTGGCTGCAGTTCCTGCATTCTTGACAATGTTGCAATGACAAAATGTTAAGTGTTATCACATTCCCACTTTGTAAATTCCAGAATAAATTAAGGGATACCTATCTCCCTGCTATCTTTATTACCTAATCTGGAAAACCATTTTTGCTCAACAGTAGCTGTGCTGGTTCTAAAGGAATGAGGTCATACCACTTATTTCTGAAACCAAGCTCTGCTAAAGCCT